GTAATTAAGCAAATGCGCATCGAGATTTCTCTTTGTCTGGCCTCTTATTCTGTATTTCAGCATTATTTCGTTGTGCCAATGCATTGATAATGTTCATAAAAATATGTAGATTATTTTAACCGTAAGAAATCTTGTGTTTTTTTTCTCCCAAAAATACTCACAAATAAAATATGAAATGTCGGGTTTGCTTCGGGCTCGGGCCTGCAAATCGGGCTCGGCTGACGTCACTGCTTTCTCGATCCTCTTCTTGATCGTGAGCGCTGTCTTCACCGCTTAAATCGCCGACACTTTTACCGGGAACGGGGGTGCACGGCCGGGCTTCGTCTGTGTCGCTGGCCCCCTCGTCACTGTCGACAGGGGTCGGATTCCGTGCATCTGGTAGCGAGCGTAGCGAGGCCACTCCCCCGCAAGCGAGCATTTGCTCTGGAGCAAATTTAACCCAGCTGCGTTCACACGTGCACATTTGTTCCGGCGTAGCGTCGCAAACGAGCATTTGCTCTGGAGCAAATTTTTAAACCACCTCCCTGAGGTGGATCAAATTTGGTCCGGTATAAGCTCTTTAGTGGAGCTACGTCGGAGCAAATGTGCACGTGTGAATGCTTCACTGGATCTGTTTCGGAACAGCATCGGACCAAACGTTGCCGTGTGAACGGGGCTATAGATTCTCAGTTTGGTGCAATGTTCCTTCTAAGCTGTGCACATGACCAATTGCACACTGCTCTCGCCCTCTTAGCACAGGTGGTGATGCTGGCATGCTCCACGCACATATATTACATTTCTACAGTCATTCCTTAATTTGAAACTATCAATCGGACACCACACCATTCCCACTTCCCTTCCAGTTTCCGTCCTGCAGCCAACGGTGCACACTCAGTTGTTCTATTATAGTTTGAAGCACACATTGACACACAAGGACTTACTCACCACTGACGAGCGGCTGCCACTACATTCAGGAAGTCTAAAAATGGGCATATTTTACAACTCCTTTAAATGATGCTTTTTAGCACGTTTCAAAGGTCAGGTGACTAGAAATGTTTGTGTTTTATTATATTGCATGTTTTCGATTATATATGAGTGGTCAAGGTAGGACCATATTTATACACAGGGGTTTTCCAATACAGATGGTGGACTACTTGGCCTGGAAAACCATCGCCAAAGTCACTGCTCACTTGTGTCACCGGGTAAATTGATCACCTCTCTAATAAAAAAGAAAACTAGTAACGTTTCACGTTTGGCATCTTTCTAAAAATGTCATACAAATGATACTTTTGCTCTTTTAAGAAAGTGCTTATGTGTACAACCCAACGTTAGCCACGGCTCCTACAGTGGGAGCATGACTTAGAACACAGGTGTCAAACTCAAGGCCGGGGGCCAGATCCAGCCCGCCACATCATTTAATGTGGCCCGTGAAAGCAAATCATGTGTTTCAGCTTCCATGATCTTTACTAAACTCAGTACCGGAATGTCAAATTGCCACGTGTAATAAATAACGTTGAGATTTTACAAAAAAAAATGATAACATGTTTACACTCACTTGAACAATAATTAAACAAACAACAAATGAATAGTTGACTGATTTTAAAACTAGTACTGTACTCCATAATTATTTTTTGTGTGTGTGTGTACAAGTAATTATACGATGTGTTGATTTAGCATTTATTGGGTTTCACTGTCATAATGGCCCTCCAAGGGAAGACATTAACTCCAAGGTGGCGCGTGATAAAAATGAGTTTGACACACCTGGCTTAGCATGTTAGAAAGTTGCCACACATTAAACGTTATTGGTTTTCTCTTTGATTAGAGAGATGATCAACTTACCTGATGACCTAGTCAGAGCAGTGACTTTGGCGGTGCTTTTCCAAACCCGGTGGTCAACCATCTGCATTGGAAAATCCCAGTTAAATATGTTTACCCTTGATTTTCTGGAGAGCTGTTCAATTTGTTCTTTTTAACTTTTGGCACTAACCAGAGTTCAATAATCTGTCCAAGAAAACTATTAGCGCAACGTGGTTTCCGTGCGGCAGCCGGCAAACTGCACATGAGAGTATTTGGATGTGCGTCAGAAAATGACTTATACACCATTTGGTCATGACTTCTGTCACAACAGTCTCTGTTAGGCTGATTCTGTTGCGCCATGACACGTCTTAAAATAATAATTAAAATCAAATTATAGGCATAAATTGGAGCCGGAGAGGGATGATTTTTTTTTTTCAAGATTACTTTCATAATGTTCAACAGGTTGGCCGTGCATACTCAACTCAACTCAACTGTATTTATAGAGCACTTTCAAACAGCCATCGCTGCATACAAAGTGCTGTACATGGAGCAATTTAACATATACAACAAACAGTAAAGCAAATCGGTAATAAAGACGGTAGAAAGCACCGAACAGCAAAACCAAGAACAAATCTAAGTCATGCTGAGTCAAATGCCAAAGAATACAAGTGAGTTTTGAGGCGGGTTTTGAAGATGGGCAGCGAGGAGGCTTGCCGAATGTTCAATGGGAGGTCATTCCAGAGAGAGGGACCAGCAACAAAAAAGGCTCGATCCCTTCTGAGCCTCAGTTTAGTTCTTGGTACTTCTAATAATGTCTGGTCCGCAGACCTGAGGCGCCTGGCATGTGTGTAGGGGCGGATGAGCTCAGAGAGGTAAGGTGGCGCAAGGTTATTTAGAGATTTGAAAACAAATAACAATTTTGATAAATGACAAAAAGAGTTTTTTTTTTTTTAACTTCAAAGGTCAATGTTCTATGAAAATATGCCTTTCGATCATCACTGAAACATCGTTTATCCAAAATGTTAATGAAAACAAGGTACGCTTTCCACACCTAAAAGGCGAAAGGCTTCTTTGCAGCTGAATCAATTCTTCACTCAAGCTGGTATGGCCTTTACTCTTGTTTTTCTTGTGACTCTGGCTGTTATTAGTCTGACTAAAGATCTATTTTTTCCAAATTTACATCCTTCATCTCTGTCAGGCTGTCCGCCATGTCTGCTTGAAAGGAGACTTGGCTTGGATTTTTCCTCTCCCCCTCTTTTTAAGACAGAAACATATTAATGTAGCAACTTATTTTGACAGGTACCAGGTCAGATAAGGACAACTGATCTTGCAAAACTAAGCTCAAATTTTCACGTGATGAATACAAACATTTTTTTTCTCATTGCTCTTCCCCACTGTCTTATACTCTTGTTATTTAGTGCAACTTCAACTTTCTGGATTGCCAACCCAAACAACAACCTTATCAACTGTGCTGCTGCAGGCTCAGAGGTGAGTTTCTATTTTCACTTTTAGCCATTCCAACCCATTCTCTTACCATCCCCAGCTTCTCTAGATGAACAACTGTACGCACATATTATCTCTTGAGTCAAGCAGGCAACAGACAGAAACACTGCCACCCATTCAATGTGATAGTCCAGGGGTCGGGAACCTTTTTGACTGAGAGAGCCATGATAGCAAAATATTTGGAAATGTATTTCAGTGAGAGCCATCTATATATCTATATATAGATATATAGATATATATATATGTGACTGCTGTCAGGCTGTTGAATAAACATGCGTGAAAACCTGTAACCATTGTAAATAGCACAGCCACCTCATGTATGCATAATTCTGAAACATTTATTTATGTTGTGCATGCAACACTTTGTTTTGTTCTTTTTCTATATATATATATATATATATATATATATCTCTCTCTCTCTCTCTCTCTCTCTCTCTCTCTCTCTCTCTCTCTCGATATATATATATATATACAT